CTTAAAAAAAGGGATTTAATGTTAATAAACAAATAAATAATGTTTAAATTGTAAAAAATAAGCTTTAATAAGTCTTTTTTTATTGTTATTTAAAAAAAAAATTTTTTTACTATAAAAAAAAAAAAGCCGTGTGGCTGGGTTACCAACCACTATTCTGTGATATGAAAACCAAGTATATAATTTTGTGTAGCCTAAATTAAAATAAAATAAATTTTTACTAGTCTACTCAAGTTCTTTGTATAATAAATTTTTAACTGGTTTTTTGATATTTTATTTATAAAATCAATATTATTTATTCTCAAAATGTCCCTACTGCTAATAATAGTTCTTTTTTGTTTGGATAAATTGAATATTCTAATAAGGCTTTAGTAGTATATTTTACTATTTGCTATTATTTAAATTATATTAGAATATATTTAAATTAATTTAATGAAATAAAAATTTACTTCTGTAAAAGCCTTTTTATTTATAGTATTATATTTGTCTACTAATTTTTTTTCAAATTTTTTCAACTAATTTTTTAAACTAGTAATTTGCGAACAAAGTTATTTAATTTCAAATATCAACTTATTTTGATTTTTTAATAGTTTAGCTATAGTGCTTTCAGATACTTTAAAAAATATAAATTCATTTAAATATTATAAAATTAAATTAAAAATATTTAAAATATTTAAAAACCTTTTAAAGTTTTTATTTTAGCTAACTAATAACTAGTACTTTCTACAATTTGTAACTCATCAAATCTTTCTTAAAACTTTTACTAACAACTAATTTTTATTTGGACTCTTCTCTTGTTTTTTTTAATCCTTTTGCTTTTATCTGTTTTGCTTTTTTGTAACTTTTTTGGAGCTAAGATTTATATATTTAAACATATTTAAAATCTTTTAAATTTTTTTAAAATTTTTGAATATTTTAGATTAGGCTATACAAAATTATATACTTGGTTTTTATATTATAAGACAAATATCAAAAAACAGGCATGTAGCTTTTTTTATAGTAAAAAAATTTTTTTTAAATAATACCAAAAAAAAGCTTATTAAAGTTTATTATTCTATGATCCAAAATATCTAATATGAACTTTTACATTAGAATTATGAAAATAATTTGGGTTAATATAGATTTTTTTTTTTAAAAAAAAAAAAAATCTAGGTTTGGTAAGTATATAATTATTATATTTTAATAGCACCTTCCATGGACCCATTTGCTAAAAAAGAATACCAAACATTAAATAATTGGATCCAGACTTAGTTTCTTGAAACAAGCATCTACTTTTAGTTTAATCTGTATATAAACTATTTGGTTTTATCTTAATATATGTGAATAGTTTTTTTTTTAAAAAATATATATTTTTTTGAATGAATATGACAAACTCAGGTGATCTACATGACAAATAAAAATTAGTAAAATGCTTGCAAAAGTAAAATTACAATATATTTCTTATAACTATCCTCCAAATTTATTATCTTTATCAATTTAAACCTAAGCAAGTACTATATAGCAATTGACTTGTAAAAAGATTTAAGGTTAAGTTGACTAAAATATAATTAATAAAGTTTTGAAAAATTTAGTAGTAGAATATTTGCATATTATATTTATCTATCTAACAAGTTTTTATATAAAAAATAAATATTTTTATTGAAAGAAGTAATTTAAACCTCAATATAATAATCTAATAGAGTTTATTTTTAAAATCTAACTTTACCTTAAATATCTTGTTCATTCTTTTACTACTGTAAATTAGTACTTGGCAAAATCAAACAAAAACTCAATTACACGTTACTCTGGTTATACCGACATTTGAATATAATGACATCATAGTAAAATCTGTCTATACTAATAATTTTTTTAAAAAATTTAATATAAAATGTTGGTATAACTCACTGTATCGACATTTTGAATTTTTTTACTAATGACTCAAAAATGTCGATATAACCAGAGTGACGTGTATCAAATTTTTGAATCTATTAATTTATAATATTATACTTCAATTATAAAATCTATGTTTACTCTAATCTACTTTAAAACTTTATGTTAGTTACCATGAAGTCTAAAGTAAGATCGGATTCCTGTTAAATTTATACATATTGAAAATAAAATTTGTATTTAATACACAATATTGTAAAATAATAGATTCAAAAACTCGATAATTGAGTTTTTGTTTGATTTTGCCAAGCACTACTGTAAATATATACAAATAGAAGCTTCAAATATGGAATTACAAGTTCAAAAAGTTGAGAAAGTGATATAAAAAAAATATAAAAAAAGGTTTTAAATTTGTTGCCAACCGCAACACCATAAAGCTAAAAATAAAGAGTTGTAATACTGTATATACATATTTAAGTACATATTTAAAAATAATTAATATATAAATACAAACCTGATATAGTAATTCTGCAAGCTAAAGCTATATGTAAAAGTTACTGGAATCACTAGAAGCAACTGGAAGTTACTGGAACTTCCTTCTAGTGGACTAAAATTTCTCACTAGAAGGGTCTAGTGATAACTTACTACTGGATGATATATTTTACTAATTCCTTCTAGTTAGTTCTAGTGATCTTCCAATTCCAGTAATTTTCATTATAATAACCCGATCACTATTCAAGATCACGGGTGTATTAATTAATAATACCCTGACTATATGTGAATTAGTGGGACTTTTAGCCCTGCTAATACTCAATAGATCAGGAAATTATTATTATAAACATTCTAGCAGCCATCACTGGCTTTAATAATACTGTCAGACCTCTCTATAGTTACCTTCTATATAAGCATATTTTCTTTATAAGCATATTTTTTAAAAAACAATTATTTAATATAATAAATTTGACCTTTATAACTGTCACACTTCTCTACAATCACACATTTTTGTATCCCAAGTGTGTGATTATAGAGAGGTTTAACTGTATCGATATTTATTTCTTGCTTATCAGCTATTTGAGATTGAAGCTCAGTTAAATTTTGGGTTGATACAATTTCATTGATTTCACTTGATTCAGCAATTTTTTTTTGCCTTTCATGTTTATTAGTTTTTAAATGTGAGTCTAGATTATGTTTTTTTTGGTGATCAACTTGACATTTACAGAAGGAACAATAAATTTTTCCTTCGCTTTCATAAAAATCATCCCTATATTTAGGGTATCTATCTAAAAGTGAAGTAATTTGTCTTTTTTTTTTAAAAAAAAAAAAAATGTTCATTTGACTCAGAATTATTTAAATTTTACTTTTTTACTATCGCTATTAGGTGGCATACACAATTTACGTTAAACTATTATTGTATTGTATATTGTATTATATAAAAATAGGGAATGCCATATAGTATTATGTTTGTATTATCTTTAAGATCCCTATGACAATACTGGCTTAACGTAAATTGTGTATGCCGCCTTATTACAAATTGTAATTGTCAATTGAAGAACAAAAGCAATAGTCACGTGTTTAATGCAAAAATTGCATCTTAGCACCTAACAATGCCGTTAGCTATTTTAGATGCTACTAAAATCCGATGACTCTGGTTCTAGATTTAACAATTACAGGATGCATAATAGCTAAAATAAAGTTGTATGTAGATTCAAAGAAATTATGCTGTGGCTGTGGCGCCTTATCACCTGATCGGACTTTCGGTGGTCGCCCTGGCGCACTCTCACATTGTTAAAATTTACTGACCCTAATTTAGGCTCAATTCCGCAAATTCGCTGATATGTTATACGTACTAACGCTAATCTTTGTGTTTCTAGTAAAGGTTGTAGAGCGCATTAATCCAATTCTAACGGATCTAAATTGTTGAAATCGGCTATGTAGTCCACGAGATACTTGCATTTAAATCTTCACGATGATAATTTTTTTCTAAGAAATCGTATGATCGTGAAAGTTCAAACGCACGTATCTCTAAGCCGATCTTAATACCGTTATATATAATTATATATATAATTATATATAACTTTTATATAAATGCAAAGTGGTACGTATCATAGATCGTTCGACAAGGGAAAGTAATACGTATATCAGTTGATTTGTGTAAAAATTCGATTTATTTTGAAAAAATTACTTTCAAAAAAAACTAGCATTGTGATCAGTTTTTAAGATTTAAGAACCATTTTCAGGCTTATAAGTTATTGGATATTTTTTGATGATACCTAATCAAGCCGTTTAGTAGAAATTTCGCAAAGTTTAGATATGACTTAATTTGTTTGTTTCAAAAATTAATTCCGAAAAATTTTCATGCTACTGGTGCCTGAAAACTTTCTCCGGTACAATTTCCCGTAAGTATACATTATTGGGTAAAAATTGTGAATAACACTCAACCGGGCAAATGATTGCCTGACACGTGCCGCTTCGCGGCACTTGTCAGCCAATCATTTGCCCGGTTGAGCCAAATTGCCGTATTCACAAATTTCCCACTAATGGTTAACTAATGGTGTTATCCGACAATTTATGATCATGATTGGTAGAGAGTCACTCGCTGAGTTTTTTTTTTGAATATTGGAAAACCATAATTACATCGTTTAACACATGAAAAAAAATAAAAGAAAGAAAGTTTTTCATGATCATATGAGTTTGTCGGATAATTTCCTATATTCACGAGATCTTCGGGTATCGGAATTATGGTATGCCGTAATTTTCTTGTTTTACAATTTAATGAAACCTTAATATCGAGCTAATCTTTAGCTTACGCACGTACAAAATTCATGAACGGGTTTCTACATGTTGCATTATGATTACAAATCAAACATACACATCTATACGTATTTCAGAATAAAATTATAACTTTATATAAAAGACAATACAGCTCCTGACATATTGCTTAATTTATTTTAAATTATTCACAACGTGATAATACAAAAAGATTAAAGTAGAAATACCGTAGCGAATTAATTAAAAGGGCCCCTTTTTATGTAATATGCAATAAAGATCCTCCACTGTCCCCGGAACTTTTAATCAATACAATACAGTAGTTCGGCATTATCCGAATATAGTGCATGCAAAGCCATTAACAATTTAGTTTAAAGTTTAGCCTTATTATAAACACTTGTGATTTCGTCATACAATAGTGTAGTCAGAAATTCGGAATATTCCTTGCCGGTAATTTGGCTTGCTAAATATCGTTTTGCTAATCCGTATTTACTTTCACCAAATTTTTGAGGACCTAATTGTCTTTCCAGTTTTGCAAGTTCCTCATCAAGCAGTTTAAGTAAATATTCTGCAGTGACAGTTTTGCCTTCAGCGGTACGAGATTTATGTCTCGCCCATTGCCATAATTGCGATCGTGAAATTTCAGCGGTAGCAGCGTCTTCCATAAGATTATTAATAGGTACGCATCCTAACCCTCGAAGCCATGACTCAATATAAGTAAGACCAACTGATATATTGCTACGAATACCATTTTCAGTGATGGAACCACGAACATTCGTGTTAAGCAAATCCAAAGCAGTAACATTAACATCATCACGTCGTACAAAAATTTGATTTGGAGTTTTTAAATTTTCATTAAAAACTTCCATAGCAACCTTTACCAAGTCTGGATGAGCAACCCAAGTACCGTCATGACCAGCTTTAACTTCACGTAATTTGTCAGCTCTAACTTTCTCAATGGCTGCAGAATTCGCTTTAGGATCGTTTTTAATCGGAATCTGAGCAGCCATACCGCCCATAGCGTGAACTCCACGACGATGGCATGTTTTGATAAGCAGCCGAACATAGGCATCCATGAATGGAGTTGTCATAGTAACATCAGCACGATCCGGAAGGACAAAATTAGGGTTGTGACGGAATTTTTTAATAACGGAAAAAATATAATCCCATCGACCACAATTGAGGCCAGAAGAGTGTTCACGAAGTTCATAAATAATTTCATCCATTTCATATGCAGCAAGAATTGTTTCAATTAAAACAGTGGCACGAATAGTACCACGAGGAATACCAAGAAGATCTTGTGCTACATTAAAAATATCATTCCATAACCTTCACAATAAATAAAAATGAATTAGTTATTAAAAATGAACAACTTAGACTATTATTTGAATGATTGAAAGTTACCTTGCTTCTAAGTGAGATTCCATCTTTGGCAAGTAAAAATAAGGCCCGATACCGTTTTCAATTAATTTCCTTGCATTATTATAGAAGTATAAAGCGAAATCAAAAATTGAGGCGGATGTAGGTGTACCATCGATTAAGACATGTTTTTCATCTAGATGCCAACCACGAGGACTAATTCATATGATATGAATATAAATTTAGAATAGTTCAAATAATGTTATAACAAAAATTTAATAAGTTAAATTTACCGCACGATCAAGGTAGCAACTTTACCATCTTTACGTAAAGAATATTTCTTGTTGTTTGAAGGATTAGTATAAGTTATTGTTCCACGAATGGCATCACGTAAATTTACTTGACCATCAATATTATTCTCCCATGTTGGTGCATTGGAATCTATGGTTAAATAATACAAATTGATCAAAAATGGATATTAAATTTATAAATCATTAGATTTCGTCGATCACTGAAACTGCAATTACCCTCAAAATCTGCCATATAAGTAGAAGAACCGCAGTTTAAGGCATTGATAACCATCTTTCTATCAACTGGTCCAGTGATTTCAACGCGCCTATCAACCAATCCAGGTGCAGGATAAGCACCGCGCCAAGTGTCATCGTCTCTTATGTGAGCAGTTTCTGGTAAAAAGTCAGGAAGAACGCCACGGTCTAGCTCTTGTTGTCGAAGAGCTCGACGTTGAAGTAAAGTTTTCCTAGTAGGATTAAACGCCCTATGAAGTTTTGCAAGAAACTCAAGAGCTCCAGAAGATAGTATTTGAGCTTGAATATCATTCACCGGGGCAAGAATCGTAACACCCGGAACAGAATTGTAAGACATGATTTGCTTCTAGTTTATATGAACAGCTATAGTGACAAGAGACGAAAGAACGAATTAGGTGAGAATATTTGTTTAAATGGACGGAATTTTACGGAACTGGGTAGATTATCAAAAAAATTTTAACCTTAAAAAAAAATTTTTAAAGGCAATTGACAATCTATAAAAAGATCGTAATTTTTAAAATTAGTAATCTGTGTTAATATTTTGACATCATCCACGAAGGACGTAATTTATCATAACCGTACGTACGCAACGTAACACAATTTACGCTAAGTATCGTACTACAGTTAAACCGTCATCGTATAAGTAAATTTGCTAGTAAAATTAATTAATCCGTTCCTCACGAAATTATATAAAGTTTACTCCCGCTATAGTTGCATATCACTTGATGTGCTGTCGCGAATGTGCAAAAAAAAAATAAATTAAGGTGACTATAGCGCGAATGTGACAAATTTCAAATATACAAATCTTTTTATACATTTATTTATTAGTAATGATATAAGGGCAAGTGGGGTATTATGACGAAGTTAACAAATTTCGAATGTATCATGTGATCTATCGATTAAAACCGAATGATTTTGGTATCGTTTGATTCGTTTCATTGAGCTGAATCGATTGATACCAAAATCTTTTGATTCAGGTCGCTAGATCCTAAGTTATACTAATTTAAAGTTTTATTAAAAAATAAGATTTTTTTGTGCTAGAGGGTATTGTGACGAATTGGGAATATCTCGTGACCCTGTGGTCAGAATCTAGCAATTTTTATATCATTCGATTCTTCTCAATGAGAGGAATCGAATGGTATATTCCGATCACAGGATCATGTAATATTCCCAATTCGTCACAATATCCATTTACTATGGATTCTATATACAGTATATTCAATATGTCTAAATGGTTTAAATATGGATATCTTATGATTCAGTAATCCAAATTAGGTAATTATTATACCATTCGATTCCTCTTAATGAGAGGAATCGAATAAGAATCGCCCAATTTGGATCACTGAATCATAAGAGTATTTATTTGTAATATTGTAAAAAAGTATAATAGTAATTTTAATATTTTATCTTTTTTTTTTTGGTGTTAAGGTGATCTCTTTGGTCATGGGGACTCTTTATTAGTAATCATTTACTATTACAGTTACAATGAAGATACATGTGCACCTTTTGGGTGCCTATTTAAGTAGTCCACCCACAGGTTTTACACTAAATACCGTATCTATAACCCAACTAGGAAGTTATCCATTTAAACCTTCTGATCCTAATCATTTTTAGCATATCATACTAATCTGGGAACTACTATTTGGCTCATTCTACTAGATTGTGCACTCTGCCTTAGGACTTCCATGACTTATCTTGGGTTTGCACCAACTAATTACTGGCTTGCATTCTTCTATTAAGCAGATGCACAGCTATCTTTGAGGTAAACCTACCAGAACCTTCTGTATCCTGTATCCAGCTAACCTAGTCATCACAGTTGCTGAGGCTCCCACTTGCAGTTTGGTGTAACTTAATTAAACCGATATGCCCTTGTAAGGTTTACTTCAACTCTAGTACTTATATTTGGGTTTTCCTTTTTCTGTTCTTGCCTTATTAGTCTCTCCTTTACTCTCAACCTGTGACCCAGAAGTTTCAACCCTGGCTAGACTCTAGGTGCCTTGTACCCTGTCTCATTATAGTATATAATTTTATAGCACATGTCCTTTTTCTCTAATTGAGTCTGGCTAGTCTTCAGAGATTGCCCAGTCCTTATCATCAGGTGAAATCTAACTCTCAAATCCTAGTTATGGTGGATAACTACTCTAGTTTTCCATGCTGGCTACTAGGTTGGTATGCTATCCTTCTTTCTAATTAGTGGTCAAATTAGTAGATCCCTCTATTTATATAGGCAAATTTGCCTGTGTTACAATTTAAAAGATAAAATATTTAGATGTGGTAGCTTAGTGAAATGGTCTAGTAGTCACTTCACCAAGCAGCAGGTCTAGAGTTTGAATTCCATAGATGATATTTTTCGAAAAATAGATTTGTATTAGATAACAATTATCTATTGATCAGTTAGATTTACAATCTGTAATCTTGGTTGTACCTTCTCATTATAGAAGCTTCAGTACAAAAATACCAAGAAATCGAGATGATCGAAACCTATTTGGGAAGACCCGAGTAAGAAGGTAGTAAATACTTTTGATGATGCTATAGGAAGGTCGAATTTAAAAGTGATAGCCAAAATTGGAAAACCAAATAACAACAAGATCCTTACATAGGCAAATTTGCCTGCATTTTTATTAAAAAGTTTAATTAAAATCTTATATATTAATTTTAGCTATATATTTTCTAAGTAAAATATTTAAATTTAGATTTGTTTTATTATCTTAATTAAAAAAATTTTTTAAAATTATTAAAAAACCTTAGTATAATAAAAGTTTAAAGTTCTTGTATTAAAATTTTACTATGTAATTTTTTTTTTAAACTTTTTTAAATTTTATATGTTTTTTGTCTATAAAAAAATCTTTGCTTCTAAGTAAAGTCTTGATTTTTATTAGTAAATTACTAAAGGTGTAATAATAAAAGTTG